CCCACTCGCCTCCACAAAGACAAGCTGGAGACTGAGTTTGCCAAGTTTATGGCATTGTTGAAGCAGCTCAACATCAGCATACCGTCTGTGGAGGCACTGTCGAAGATGCCCAAGTACGCAAAGTTCATGAAAGATCTCCTCACCAACAAGAAGAAACTTGGAGATCTCTCGGCAGTGCTGCTGAGCGAGGAGTGTTCTGCGATCCTGAAGAACAAGCTGCCCGAAAAGCGCAAGGACCCAGGGAGTTTCACTATCCCTCTTACTATTGGCAGCATGCATATAGGAAATTCCTTGGCGGACCTAGGCGCTAGCATTAATGTCATGCCATACAAATTGTTCAAAAAGCTAGACCTAGGTGAACTTAGCCCTACTAGGATGAGCATTCAGCTAGCTGACCGTTCCATTGTGCATCCTAGGGGTATCATAGAGGATCTGCTTGTTAAAGTGGGTGCATTCACATATCCTGTTGATTTTGTTATTCTGGATATAAATGATGATGTGGACGTGCCTTTGATTTTAGGGAGACCATTTCTTGCCACCGCCAAGGCACTTATTGATGTGCATGATGGTAAACTAATCCTGCGTGCTGGGAATGAACAGGCTACTTTTTCTGTGACTGATTTCGATCACTGTGCTATGATTGCTGTCACACCTGTGCATGCCATTTCTGATCAGGTACACGATCCTGTCTTGTATCCTTCTGCACCTCTCATTTTGCAGGATCCTCCTATCATTCCTTCGCCGCCACTCCATCCAGCCTCGCCTCCGAACAAAAAGCTCAAGGAGGAGTGGCGGCCGAAGCAGCAGGTTTCTAAGCCTGCACGGAAGAAGGGTGGAGACCACTACGAGCTGGTCCCGCCCCCTGCACCACGACCACCCTGGCCGTCCGGGTTCTCACTCGCCTGCATCTTGCCGGATGGCCAGGTCGAGCTGACCGATGATGGTGGTCGCATCCGTCGGGTGCATGGCCACAACCTGAAGCTGTACCTCAAGAGCGACGTGGGTCCGCTCTTGGAGGCACCTGTTTCTGCACCTCCCTGAGTATCCACCATGGGCGTCCAGCTAAAAGACGGTAAAGAAGCGCTTGTGGGGAGGCAACCCCACCACGGTTTGACTTTCTTGCTTGTGTTTTGAGTCGGATTGTAAACCGGTTTGGTTTTGGTTTGTTTTCTTTTGTTTTGGATGAGGTATTATTGGGCTGACCATTGGACCTAACATATTGTGTTTGAGCTCTTCTATCACCCAGTGTGTGTCTTTTGTTGACTTTAGCTCTGTGCCTCGGACTGGTTCCCCTTCCAGTCCTCTGCTATTGTCTGGTCTGCCTCTCCATCTCCGTTCCTGATCTCATTTCACGGTAACATCGTTCCCCTTCCCTCTGCTCCATTGAGGACATTGTCGCATTTAAGTGTGGGGGATTCTTTATATTAATTGGAACGTGTGTATGGGTGCTTGGAGCCTAGTCCACTGTCCAAATCTTGAGATTTGAGGGCTCCAAGCACTGCTGTTTGCTTGATAATTGATCGTATTGGCACTGTGGATGTGATTAGAGAATTGAATGGCTTTTGACTCGATGCATGACAACTTGAGTGTGACTAAGATAGCATATTACGATGACTGAGATGTGTAGTAGAGTTGTGTAGGGGGTTCAGTTTTCAACTGTTTGCTTACCAACTGCGACTTGCATTTGATCACTTGCTTTTGACAGTCATTTATGCATCTAGTTCAGGGAATCAGAATATGAGATAGAGCATATAGGTAGCCATGTGAGATTTGAGCCTGCTCGTTTCTTTCTTGTGCGAATGATCCCTCTTCCATGAAATGTAGCATTCACGTTGTCACTAGCTAAGATGATGGAGGCATAGGATTAGCCCACGACCAAACTGACTGTCCTGATGTGTCATATCCCCTAGTCAGCCCCTTTGAGCCGTGTGTCAGCCCCTTTGAGCCGTGTGTTATCCTTTCTTTCGGTCTGAAATGAAAAATCACCCTTTGCATCTTTTAGAAGGTTCCACAGAGTGGTTTTTACGTGTTTTCTACTGTTTCTGCTAAATGTAATGTGAGGGTTGGAGGTAGTGCTTAAAAGTTGGGCGTGTGTTTGAAAAATGTGCAGAGGTGGTGGTTCTCTTAAGGAATGAATAAAGAAAAAAAATAAAGAAAAACAAAGAAAAAAATGAAAACAAAAGAGAGCCACCACCAAAATTCTGAATAGTGCCCATTAGGTAGTGTTTCTTAGCAGTCTGGCTTGGAAATGCTAGCATTTATATAACCTCCCTCGCTCTTGTGCCCTAAAGAATTTGATTAATGCAGAATAGCAGGACGAAAGTTACTGGTTTGCTTGATCGTGGTTTTGTTGGGTTTGGAATTTGTGGAACCTTGTGCTATAACGGCCACCACCTAAAAGGCCTTTTCCCCATGTCCAAGACCCTAGCCAGTCATTTGAACCTGTGTCTAAGACCTCCGGATTAGTTAGTGGTGACACCCCCTTTGTGAACTCTAGCATTTAGAGGTTGCATTCATGGTGAAGAGACGTTAGGGATTGAGAGAATAAGCATGCGCATTTTTCGCATCAATTTGTCCTGACCCCACTGGTCGAGAGTGAGCGATTCATTTTCTCATATTCTCTATACTCTTTACCCCGGTGAGGACCTAGATTGCTCGGTCTTAATTTTGATATTTTGAGCTTTGTGCATGAAGTGACTGTTTTGAACAAGTGGTTGAGTCAAGTCTATGTTGGTTGGTGAACAGAGGAGAACTCTTCCTATGCTCGACTTTATTGCATTCGAATGTCATCTGTGGTGGTTGTCTAGGTTGTCGTTCGAGTTGCCATGTGTTGATGATCGAAAGCCAGTATGATCCACGTGTTTTGTGCCGATATGCTTTGCCCTGAAGCCTGCTTAATTGAAATGTCTTGAGCTTACCTGGTGTCTGACTTGGTTTGCTTAGGGACAAGCAAACGGTTAAGTGTGGGGGAGTTTGATAACGATGTAATTGCATGATTTTATACCCCTATTTCTTATCCATTTGCGGGGCATAGTCGTGTATTCTTGGCCTATTTTACGCCGGGTTGTGCTATTTTGTCATATTTCAGGTCCCAGGCGTCAAAGGAAAGGCTAGTCACGAGTTTTGGGGCATTTGGAAGTCATTTCATCGAGCTGGAGCCAAAACACGGGCAGGAGGCCTTCAGAACACGGCCGTGTTTCTGTGGCCGTGCTTTTACTGCCGAGAGCTAATTGAGTTTGGCAAATTCAAGCTGCAAACACGGGCTGAAAGCACGGTCGTGTCCACCCAAAGCACGACCGTGTTCTCCCAAAAGCACGACCGTGTTTCTCCCAACTGTTGGCCGTGTAATTAACCCTAGCCAAAGCACGGGCGGGCTGAGGCAAAGCACGGCCGTGCCCTCGACCGTGCTTTGGCCAACGATGCCCTTTTAGGCAGATTTCAGCCAAATAGAGGGGGATTCGAGTTTTAGAGAGACAGAGCGATTCCTAGAGAGAGAAAGCGACGAACAAGAGTCTCCAAGTGCCCTAGCTTGATCTTCATCACCATTGGAGCTTGGCTTGAGCTTGGAAGAGTGCTGATTAACGTCCAGAAGCTGAATTCCATCCTTCACAGTATGGTTTCCGCATCTGATTCTGCTTTTGCTTCTCTCTCCATGGAGTAGTTCTCCCATTCATCTGGGTGTGGGAAACCCTAGATCTGTATGTTAGGATTGATTGTATGAACCCAAGTACTGTTTCTATGATTTGATTATATTCGATTGAGGTTTGAATGATTGAATGGCATGAATCCTGATCAAATTCCTGTTGTTTCTGCTTTAACCTAGAATGAGAATATCTACCTAGGTTAATAGAGTATCCTTAATTGAAGGTAGCGAATTGGTGACTTTAGTCGAGGAGCCAATTCGCGATTCTGTACCGAATTCCATTCGGTAGTGGAGGTTTGGTTCGTTAGGGCCTCAATCTGTTTACTCCGGTGGAGGTTAGTCGCCCGCTAGAGACTCAGATTGAGAGGGTCTGAAGACCTTTAGTCGAGACTTTAGACTGTTTGAGAACCTTCCGCAGTATAACTATCATAGAAATTGAACTTGGTAATTACAATCCGGCTTAACTGCAGTCTAGGGGGAACCATATCCGGGTGACCTCTCTTAACCTGAAAACAACCGTTTAGTTGCTTTGCTTGCTTGTTAGTTTAAACCTTCACTAAAGTTTCATTGCTAGATAATACGAATTCACTGAGTAGTCATCACATCTAGGACCCGGGTTGACATTGAAACCTAAGCCCGCTATACTACGCTTTAGGAAGTGGTTTCACTTGGCCATTTTCTAGAGTGACAGTAGGAGTGAGTCAGTATCCCAATCGGTATTTGAAATTAATTATTAAATATATAAATTAGAGTATCTAATCTAATTTAGGACAAAGAGACTAGTTAGGCAAAGGGTTGTGAGTTCACCTAGAGCTAGGACATGGATAAGGAGAAGGGAGGAGATGGTGACATCTCAATTGCTTGTTATTTGTAATCTTTCATTCAACGGATTGAAGGCCAAGAGACGACTAATGAGAGTGTATGCTTTTTGTTGTTATGAAAATAACAAGAGATTGAGTGAGAGACGAGTGACTTAACTGGTAAGTTGAAATTGAATTGGACGGAGTTATGATTTTGTCGACGAGGGAGGAATAATCAATGGCTATGTGCTATATTTCATCAATTTATTTTTATTGGTATTTTGCTATAATACCGATCATAATCTCGTAATCCCGAATAACACTCAAAATGAATTTTAATCTCAATCTCTAAAAAATAATCGGTATTCGGTAATACCAAATAGTGATCAATTCAGTACAATATTCGATTATCCCAAATACCAATACGAAACTTCCAGCCTACTTAAAGAATGGAACGTAAGAAAAAGGAAATCCTCGATTAGAAATAGCTTCAGGATGAGATTGGTTGTGTGAAGTTTGAATCTTCTGTGGATTAGACATGTTGCTCAAGTTGACGACTAGGGATCCAGTGATGGGATTGATGTCAACCCATTGGCCTTGGCGGAGGACCTGAGATGTTTGGATTCTAATCCCAGAGCTTCGGAGATCAACTCGAAAATGGTCAGCCCCAATTTCTTCACTTTCTTGAATATTCGATTATATACATCTCTGCAATATTAGCGCCGCAGAAGTTTGAGGCGTGAAAGAGTTTACAAGTTAGTACATAGTTGTCTGCATCACTAATCGTCTAGGACCATGTACATCTTCCAATCTGGCGGTTTTGCAAGTTGATAGATATGCACATGGATGATTCAATCAGAAACTCTTTAATCAATGTTTTAGCCTCAGAACGTGAAACAATTGAAAGCAATGGTGATTCGCTCATCTGTGTAGTGTTGGCAAAAATATGGGATATCCTACCCATATATGGTTATGATCATGAAAGTGTTGATCTGAAACGATTCAAATGGATTCGACTGAGATTAGTTCCTATCCAACCCATGAACATACAAAACATTTGGATTTGACTGTATACTCAAATGCTACCAGACATTAGGGTGAAAAGGTTCAATGGGTCTACCATTTCTTGTCTAACTCAACTCTCAAAACAAAAACACAGAAAGCTGTACCACATTCCAAGTTTAATTCAAAGAAGAAAAAGGTAATGTGGTGGTTTTTCATACCTACAAATGGCTGGCACATCTTCATGGACTGTGGAGGGACAGGAGCCACAAGGCAGTACAAATTGCCCCTCCAATTAGCCGCTGAAGCTTGGTACATATCAAAGTTGGTGTTCTACTTGACCTTTCTTGTTTCACCCCTGGTGTAGAATTCTTTCTTCACCTCATTATCCTGCTCGTGAAACTTTCCAACTCCATCAATTGCTCTCTGCTGGAGCGACTCTGGGATTCCATGATTGAAAGAATCCCCATTCTGAAGCGACATAGTGAATCTTGCCAACTGCCGCAGAGCGCGAATGTGGATCATATGATCGTTCAGACTTCCAAATCTATGACTGGTATGGTAAATTTGGCCGACTTTGAGACTGCGTCTTGATTGATTGTGGATGGATCATGCTGAGAGCTCTACGGTTCCAGCATCAGCAATTTATGCCAGATTTGGTAGCGTCCTGCTCGTTCTGCCTCTCCGAATCTGCTGAAATGGTTTTCACCACCCTGTTTCTTTCCTCTCTTTCTTGTGAAGCTGAATGGTCGAGTTTTGAATACAGAAAATGGAGGCGCATGCGGAAGCTAATTTATCAAAGGTTAAGATTAGTATTTTGTCGAGCAGTTGAGAGTCCAGTCAAGATGATGCAGCTGACGTCTAGCAAAGTGCAGTAGCAGTTTTTGTTTACTGCCTCCAAAACTGACATGCATGACAATTGACATACGATAAGATCTCTGGTAATTGGTGACTTATGTAATGCATTGAACTGAGGAACTGTCCACTTAAAGAGTCAAACAGCTTTATCTTTAGTTGCCACTAAAATGGATTCTAGTGAGACAAAAATTTGATCTTTTTTTCCTGCCAAAACAATTTACAAACAGGCCAAGCTTTATTTCTACCCTAACATCCACTTGTGGAAAGACATTTATTCTTCTATGACATTATTGTTCACCGGATGCTCATGAAACTGCATGTCCGCATCCGCCTTCTGCCAATAACTCAGAGTCTGAAAACTTCCAGAGCAGAGATCCCATTAAGCCCTTTTGCTTGGTAATGTTCAACAAATTCCTTCACAGTAATTTCCCTAAAAACTGGCGGATCCCCTTCTGATATCAGCTCCTTAAGCGGGCCATAAACTCTGGTAGAGTTCTCAGGAAGCAGATGCTGTGGTCTCAAGAAACATGCCACTGAAACCCTAGGGCCTATTGATTTAGCAAGTACCCTGTGTTGGGAGCTTCTGAATTTGTCATTAGAGATCAACTGCACACACATTGCCAGAGAATGCGAGGGTGAGAACCAGCTAGTTTTAGTAGGACTCCGAAATATGATAAACAATTTAACAAGCACGGTCCAGTTTTACCTGCAACAAATCTCCCAGATTTATGACAAGAGCATTTGCTGTGGGCTTCACATCAACCCACTGATCATTACAAAGGACCTGAAGACCGCCAATTTGATCTTGCAGAAGCACGGTAAGAAAGCTGCTGTCAGAATGGCTGCTAATTCCTATTGTCGAATCCGGTTCAGGACAAGCCGGATAGTAATGACCCAGAAACAACAATGCTTCCGAGCAACCTATATTGGTAAGGTAATCAGGGTTCAGCCCCAATGCTTCAGAAACCAACTCTAACAGCTTCCTTGCTAGTCCCATCACTTCGTTTGAGTAATCAACCATCGTTTCCCTGTTCCAAATTGTTTCTTTCTTATTAGAGATAGCAAGCTGACATGATTGAGTTATAATCTTATCTTTCTGATTAGTCCTACAATCCTACCACTCACAACTCGAATTGACAGAAGAAAATTCATGAAGAGAAACAAGTTTCAACATGAATACTGTTTATAACGCACCCGCAGACTTGAGGGAGTTCCTGAAGGTTTGGCGGGCGTGGAGCCATGAGACAACTCATGGTATCCCTCCAGTTATCTGCCGGAGACTGATACAAATCGAAATTGCTGTTGTACGTGAACGTCTTGTAAGCAAAATCCCTAGTGTAGAACCCTCTCTTCACTTCAGTATCTTGTTCATGGAACTCCTTCACTCCATTAATGGTCTTATCCAGAAGCGGTATGGGTATCCCGTGATTGACCACCTGGAAAAACCCAAATCTCTGGCAGGCGTCTCTCACTTGCACAATAACCCGACGGCGCAGATTTGGGTCTCTGTCGATACCTTGCAAGTCAACGGTCGGGATGACGGGCAGCTCGGCCTCAGGGTCCCCTGAATTTGATTTGATGGGAGCTGCGTTGTGCTGTGAGTGGAGGAATATCGACGGGATTTTCGTAATCCCGGCATCTGTGAGCCCCTTTACGCCGGCTTTCGTGTCGTCGAACGTCTTCAGTGCAGCTTTCCGGTCGAAATCGGAGTCCTGTGATTCGATTTGGCTTGCCATACTCGATAGAGGAAGCAAGCAAGATTCAGACTTCAGAGTATCCTCATGCGCCTAAGACGCTTGGTAGAGGGAGCTTTTCTCTCTGTCTGCTCCGATTCAGGATCAACTACGTACTGCTGCAGCAAAAACAACAGAGCAGCCAAGCGCAACCATCTCCTTTCCGGATCTTTGCCTTAGCTGGAGTTCTTGCTATTGAGGAGTTTTGAAAGGGTCTGTCCATCTCTCTTTGCCAGCATATTAGATCTGAATCTCTGACTCCCCTCTCCGGCGTACGCTCTCCCGCCGTCACAACTCTCCTCTCTTCTGAGTCAGCCTTGACTGTCTCGTTCACTGCGTCACAGTTGTGGCACCTCAGCGGAGCACAGATAGTTGAGATTCCGTCATCTCTGCCGTTGAGTACCGAAAATGGGCTGGAAGAGCTTCCAATAGCAGCATATTTATCAGTCCCTTAGTTAGATCTGAAGCGTCTTTAATCTAAAATTAGTTTTTTGCCCCTGGCTTCGCATTAGTAAGAAACTACTTATATTTAAAATTTCATCCACTTATTTATTATTTTAATTAAAATAAAATAATTCACAAAATAATTTGGATAAAATATTTTCATAATGTCTTGATTATCATGGAAGACTCCATGTATTACATTCATCAATTGATATATGAGAATATATATTCCTTCATAATGCTTATTTAATGTACTTTTAATTGATGTAATTATTATACAATAATGATACATAAATCTTCTGTAATTTGTGGCCTAATTATAACAAAACGAAATAATGAATAATTTTCACATTTGATGAAACTATTATGTAAAATTAACTTATCTTACAAAACCATTGCATACTAAAAATTGATGAGATAGTGAATGTTGTAGGCAATAATGAAGGAATTTTATTTAGTAATAAGTGAATTAAGTTATAAAAAGTATCACATTTGATTAAAATATTCTGTAAAATTAACTGACATTCCAAAACCTTTGTGTAGTGCAAATTGATGAGATGGTCAACAGCTTTATTAAAATTTAGAAAATTTCATTCAAACTTATATTATGAAAGATTATGTATTATATTTATTTAATTTATACATATGAAATTACGATCTCTTTTTTTTTTTTATAGAAATTACGATCTATCCAAAGCTTTACATAGTTTCTTTATCACTACGGAAGTCTTATAACTATACTATGCTTTACTAATACATCATGAATTACTATTTATTTGTAAGTTTTACTTGATGTATTTATAATTTATATAACGCTTATAGAATGGTGTTATATAAATCTTCCATAATATTTTAAGAGCACAGCCCTATTGCCAAGAGAATCGATAGAGTATTGGTTAATGTCCTGTTGATTGATATCTGCAATTCTAGTTCTGCTTGTACTATCTGCCCTGGGTTGTCTGACCATTGTGGTCTCCTTGTTACCACAGTAAAGGTAATTAAAAGTCTTCCTAAACCCTTAAAATACTTTGATTCGGGCTCAAACGTATACATTTTGCCCCTCATTTTTTTCCGTTTAGCTTAGCATTTCATCGTTCCTCGACATATTTTACGCTAGGTTGTGCTTGTTTGATACATTTCAGGTCCTAGCACGTGTGGAAGGGTCAAGGACGAGTTTTGGGATATTTGGAGATCAAAAAGCGCAAAAACCGAAGGAAAGTCCGAATTGAAGGCGTCTCAGAAACAGCCATAGTTCACGGCCGTAGTAGTGAATTGAAGGCGTCCCAGAAACAGCCATAGTTCACGGCCGGACGAGGCAGTTCACGGTCTCCTTAAACCGTGAACTTCGACCACAAAATGTGAACACCGAGGCGTCCACCGAGGTTCTAGAAGTTACTGACGACAAGGCAGTTCACGGTCTCTAAGACCGTGAACTCTGGCCATTGACCGTGAACCCAAGACAGTGAGGCGGTCATTTTGGACGACGCTGAGTTCACAGACGCGTTTAGGTGTTCACGGCTGTGAACTGGCCAGTGGCCAACGCGTCCGCGAACTGGTCGCTTTCGGGCAAATATGAAGACAGCTGCGGGGAGAGAGAAAGGGGAGCTGGTTTTTGGGAGAAGAAACACTTTCTTTCTCTAGGGTTTCAACCTAAACACCAAAGGGGAGTTCTAGTGAGAGAGAGAGAGTGAGAGTGCTAGAGTGATCTTGGAGCATCATTGGAGGCTTGGGTGGAAGATTCAAGCCTAGAAGAAGAAGAAGATCTTGAGCTCAAATTTGTAATCTCTCTCTCTTTCTCTCTCTCTAGAAACTCACTCTTTTCTCTTGAGTGTTGTAGATCCCTAACTAATACTTTGTAATTACTTGTTAGATTGAATGATTGTCATTGGGTAGTGATTAACTCAAGGATTGAGGTATTATTTATTAGAGATAATTAATAAAAGAATTTTATTTCTTTTATTATTTTTCTCCCCACTCTTCTGCTATCCCTCTCTCCCTCACTTTGTCGTTCCTATCTTTGAGGAACATGGGCTGCTTCTGTTGCTACAATTGCTCCACTGTATGTGTATAATTAGCGGTAGAGAATCTCAATGTAATTAAGTTTTTCACATTAATACAATTCTTCAAGACTTCTATCACGGTATTAGAGCTGGCCAAGATCAGCCAGCCTTGATCCATCTCCTCAACAGCCTTGATCCATCTATTGTTCTCCTTCTCAAATCTCTCAACAGTAGCCTTCTTCTTCTTCTTCTTCTTCTTCTTCTCTTCATTACCGCACTATGTCGAACAAAACAGTCTCCACCTCTGTTGCCGCTGCTGTTTCTGAAGATGCCATCATCACATTTAATCCCGCTGCGCAGCTGTCGCTAAAATTGACCCCGACCAATTTCAATTCCTGGCGGTCTCAACTGGAAACCCTGCTTATGGGTTTGGAACTCATTCATTTTATCGACGGCACATGCGTCCCTCCTCCTCAGACGGTCACTATGGACGGTTCCTCAACTCCCAATCCTGACTTCCATAATTGGTATCGGCAAGATAAGCTCATTCTTCACGCTCTTCGCTGCTCTATTTCTGAGTCTCTGTATTACGTATCTGTTGCGGCCACATCCCGTGATGCTGGGTCCATTCTGGAAAAGCTACATGCCAATCGCTCTCAATCCCGCCTAACTAATCTGAAAGGGAAATTGGCTCGTACCACCAAGGGCAGTAGTGATGTCAATTACCTATGTTAATGACATGAAGCTTATTGCCGCTGAACTCGCTCTTGTGGATGCTCTAGTGTCAGATTTGGATCTCGTTGTTCATACTCTTCGAGGTCCGGATCCTGATTATAATCCATTTACAGCTGCAGTTTGTGCTCGGGGAACCACCGTCACCATTGAAATTTTTTTGGATTCCTTGATCGAGTACGAGGTTGATCTCAAAGATCATCAGCGTATAACGGCTGTTCCCACAACCTTCTTCACCGCCGGGCCTTCCCGTCGTGGCAACAACGACGCTCCTCTGTTTCATGGTGGCGGCGGCCACTCTGGTGGAAATAATTCCCCCCGCCATTCACCTGCTGCAGTGGGCTTTGATCATTGCCCAGGATCCTCTTCCCACGGCCCACTACCATTTGAGCAGACAGGGCGCCAAATTCCCTCTTACAACGACCCACTTCATTTATCGGAGCCCACTCGACTAAGGAAGCCCACGGTCGTCTGCCAATATTGTGAGCGACCAGGCCACTCGGTCCACCAATGTTTTAAATTATTTCCTCAGGCCCGTCAGGCATTTAATCAAGCCCGCCAGGCTCAAACTCATCATACCACCTCTATTTTGGGCTCAGCTCCTTCATCTGGGCCTTGGCTTATGGATACAGCTGCCACTCACCATGTGACTTTAGATTTGGGCTAGCTTTCTCTTTATTATGATTGTATGGGCCCGGATGAGATTATTGTTGGTGATGGTTCAGGTTTGACCATTTCCCATATTGGTTCTTCAACTCTTCCTTTCGGACACACTCATTTTTATTTGAATGACATATTATGTGTTCCTAACATCAAACGACATATTACTTCGGTCGCTCAATTATGCAAAACTAATTCTATCTCGGTGGAATTTTTTGCCACTCATTTTCTTGTGAAGGATCTTCGCACGGAGCGCATCTGTTGAGGGGGGAAAACAACGGTGATGTCTATGAACTGCCTCGCGATGTGGACAAAGTTCGAATGACTTTGGTTACTACCCGGACGAGTGGTGATGCTTGGCACGCTCGTCTTGGTCATCCTTATCATCACTCTCTTACCAGTCTTTTTCGCTCATATTCCCTTCCAGTTTCATCATCAGTAGCTAGTTCTTCCTGTGATGCTTGTCTTTCCAATAAAAGTCACAAACTGCCCTTTTCTGTTTCTTCTTTATCTAGTATGCATCCTTTTGACCTCTTGTATACGGATGTTTGGGGACCAACTCCTATTACTTCTATTTATGGTTATTGCTATTATTTAGTCATCATTGATCATTTCACTCGATATACTTGGTATTATCCTTTACGTCGTAAATCCGATGTACTCCAAGTTTTTCTCGATTTCAGGAAAATGGTTGAAAATTATTTTTCTACCACTATTCGTCGTTTATACACGGATGGTGGTGGTGAATTCCAAAAGTTGCGCTCTGATTTGCTCCATAATGGCATAACCCATCTTCTCACCCCACCCTCATACACCTGAACATAATGGTCTTGTTGAGCGCAAACACCGTCATTTGGTTGAAACTGGTATCACTCTTTTTCACCATGCCAAACTCCCCACTTCATTATGGTCCTTTGCTTTTTTCACCGCTATTTATCTCATCAATCGTCTTCCCTCCTCCGCCTTACGTGGTAAAGTTCCTTACACCCTTTCTTCAATTTATCCCCCCAACTATCATAAATTTCATGTTTTTGGTTGTCTTTGTTATCCCTGGCTACGTCCCTATTCTCCTCATAAACTCGCTCCTCGTTCCCGCCCGTGTCTATTTCTTGGTTATTGTCCTCAACGTAGTTCTTATAAATGTTATGACACTGCCAATCAACGTATTTTCTTCTCTCGTCATGTTGTTTTTGTTGAGGATCAATTTCCAGGTTTTCCATCTGCTCCATCCTCTCCTCTGCCCGTAGCTGCTTCTTGGGTTGTGGATTCCTCTCCACCCATTACTATTCTTCCAGGCCCCGACTCTTCTTCTCTGTCCGCATCGCAAATTGGGCCCAGCCAGGCCCACCTTCCCTCGACAGTTGCTCCTCCAGCGACGATCCCTCCTCCTCTGGGCCTCACTTCACCGCCCAGGATATTTCGGCCGCCTCATCCTCACGCCTCCATCTGGGCCTACAGTACAGGCAGGCCCACCACCGCCTCCCCTTCGCACTCACTCTATGAAGATTCGGGATCAGGCTGGGATATTTAAGCCCAAGAAAAGGCTGTTTTTTACACAGGCTGCTCCTGGGCCTCCTCCTCTTCAGCCTTTGTCCGTCCAGGAAGGACTCTGCTATCCCGAATGGCGTGCTTCTCTCTCTACAGAAAATTCAGCTCTTATTGCCAATCATACTTGGGATTTGGTGCCGCGCCTACCTCATTACAATG